GGCTGAAAGTGAGACCCGCTTGTACCCACCCATATATATTTATATATATAAAGTCAGTCCACTACAGAAAGCCTTTTAATAGTACAAAATGATTTTAAAGAATGTGCAGTATGAGTCACCTTTTAGCTATTCTACATAGCAGTAGTATATAGTAGCTGAATCTCAACACGGTACATATAAATTCAACTTAATGTAATATGAAGTTAGTGTAGCTGTCAATGTGAACAGACACCAGTACCATAATTCCATGGGGGAGCAGGTTGTCTAGAGCCCAAATATAATCAGCTACATGTTGAAGTAACGCCTCTACTATTTTTACCTGAGCAGACCACTTCAACAGTGGAAGAGGAAAGCCACTGCTTCACCGCCCCGCAGTCCATCAGCGCGTGTTCAGAGCCGTTGCAATCTGAGTAAAAGCGCCACGTAATGTGCAGAAGTTCAGTCGACTTGTCTTCTTTACGGGTTGAGACAGCAGAGCCACACTTGAGCTGTCTGCACAGCACAGCGGCCTCCTTCAAACCCCAGGAGTGCCGGTGGCTCACTGGTCTCCACTCCTTCTGATGCTCCACCTCCAGTCTACCAGCACAGTAAGTTTGGTTTTCCGTCCACCAACCTCGACAATAAGTTAGTCTTCGGCAATTAAATATCACCAGTCACATGCGTGTACAATCCAATCAAACAAACCCAATGAGGGACTCATAAGCTACAGAAGAGGTGAGTTGCTTTAAGGCCTGCTGACACTAGTCCAGTGAGGATAGGATTCCTAACAACATAACTAACATGGTATTAGAGGTAGAAAAATGAATTATTACAACATTCAAGGACGCTGAAGACAGGAGATAAAGCCAATTCAACTTTACTGCTACTGATGAAACCCCAAGTACCTTATAGCTTGAGAAGGTGAAAATCTGGCTTTTGGAGAAAATTTCTGAACGAAATCTAGCTTAGTCGCACTGAAGATTATAAAGAAAAAGGTCCCGTATTGTGGCGTCTCTCTCAGCAGGAAACTGAAGACGGATTCTCCCATCAACAAGCTGACGGATTGGCTCAGTCGGGGCTAAGTAAAGATGGGTTAGGCGGAGGGAGATGTGTAAAGGTGAAAGACAAGCTGAAAGAGAATGGCAAAAGCGACTGGCCTTCAAGGAACGTGGGAATCAGTAAACACACCTCTCGTCCTGTCCCGTGGAACATGCACGGTGATGTGAGTTGGGGGACGTTCGCAAAAAAAAATGTGAAAAAAGTGTTTAAAGGCCGCTCAGAATAATAAACAAATTAGCCACAATCCGAGATTGGATCCATACAAGAAAAAAAGATTTGCATGCTCTGTATCACGACCCATATTGCTAAGCTTAAACAACTCAGCGCGAAATGTACC